TCGTTCTGAACTCGTGTTTTAGGGGTTATATGAAGTATCAAAAAGAATAGTTTCTTTCTAGAAGAGCTCGTGCCCATGTATCGTCTGCAAAGAGAAAGGTCCGTTTCACTACGGTTTTGACTGATGCTCGTAGATCTTTGGAACAATTCGAATGAGCGAATTTCGAGCTGAAAATTTGCACATGATCAGCTCTAATATCTATATATTTTGATAAAGAGAACGGTTTTTTTAGCTACTGAATACCTTGAAGACAGAACACTTATTTAAGCTGAAATTGTCGGGTCTTTCTTATAGATATTATTGAAATTCGTTCATTCGAATATTTAAAAAAAGCCGTGAGCGCCAGCTAAAAGCGTAGCGAAACGGATATTGCTCTCTGCAGAAGGCGCATGGGCACGAACCCCGTTAGAGCAAAACTATTTGTAATGCGCTCCCGGCTGAGTGCATTGTAGGCATGATGTTTATCCTTTCCTTACTATTTCTTCTCATCTTATGTATTGTTCTTATCTTTCTGTTCTTTCTTCGTACATCATTTTGTATTTTGTCCCTATCTCAGTGCTCGTACTATCTTTTCTTATTATCCTTTCCTTTCATATTCTTTTCTTTTCTCTGATGATTGAGTATGTAAGCGTCTGCTCTGTATGAAAACGATGCGATTGTATGATATGAAGGATTAGAATAAAGTGTAATTTCATCTGCACTAACGTTTCTTCTATCAGAAATCGTCACACTATTCTTTTTCATACTTCACATAGTCCCTAAAATACGGGTTCAAAACGATGGGACAGTTGGAAGGCATTCTCCTTGAGACATTTTCGCGTGTACATTGTTTTATTCTATCAGCCTGATGTTATTCTAGATATAAGATAGACAGAGAAAACGAAAAGGAAAAAATACATTTGTATGTTACTTGTTTGGTACCATGCTCTGTTTATTTATGCAAAATGCAATACGTTCAATTAAAATGAACTGGAGATTTCATGTTAATACTTTACTTTATATTATTAGTTCCTGTCTTTTTGTCTTGGGCTCAATTTCTTTCCTTCCTTATTTGTCGAACATCGAGGCATTTTACAAAGCTGCTGTATTGAAATATTTCTTTGGTTCGATTCTAATCTTTTTCGGATCACTACAAGAGTTAATCATCAATTTTCAAAGTATTTCTTCTAACAATAATTGCTCACTTCCTACTGCGACTAAGTCAGTGAACATAGATTTAGCAGTGTCATTCTGCCGCAATACACTCGGAATTGTTAATGGTCTCTTATTTACTATTGGTTCGATGGCGTTTTGGCCTACATTCGGTACGTATGGTTTCATGCTCGGGAATTGGATGTTTCTCTCTGGTTCAAGTCTAGGAGCAGTGAGCAATATATGGCTTCTGATTCGATTACAATTGAAATCTGCAAGATTTACGATAATGAAGTTGTTAAATCTCTTATCACTACTTGGTTTCATTGGATTTCTGATTGGTGTTGGACTTTTTTTAACTAATGACCAGTACAAAGTCGAAGGTAGTTTTGCTTTTCTGGCGGAATCAATTGCATTTTTACTCTCATCAATCCTTATATATATGTTGTAAAGATATTCAGTATACACGAGTGACCACAATAAAAAGAATATTCATTGTTTGCCCTGGTGTTTTGCTTGTATCCACTTTATTGTTCTCAATAAATAAGTTAACAAAGTTTTTTAGCATATTGGAAAAATTTTGATTCATATAAGCTTCGTCAAAGATAATTTCGACTGTTACTAGAATATGTTTCAATTGAAAATCATGGTGATATTGATCAAATCTGTAAACATGGATAAGATGTGTCATTGCTCAGTGAACAGCAATGGAAAATCTCACTCAATTTATTCTGTTATTTGATAACTACGCAGCGCGTATCGATCGAACTATTTGGGGAGATCTTATGTTTCTTTACTGGGTGTTCTCATATGGGAAATTCTGTCTAGTGATCAAACTTTCTTCAAAGCAATTCGAATAAGACAGTTACCATAGACGATTTCCCATTGGATACATTCAGAAGGGTGTGAGTCAGAGATGCCAAAAATCATTTTTCGATCAACCCATGGGTGGACTCCAATCCAATCGTTTGCTCTGTGGATGGATGTGAGTTTGGCTGAAGACGAGACTCACACTGCACATTCCAAACCTGCAGTCACACACACTCAATTCGTTTTGTGATATAAATGGACATAAATTTGAAAAGAACACACTATGTTATTAACTAGCAAACAAAATATTCAATTCCACTCTCAACAAGTTCAATAATAATAACGAAGTGTTTTCAAGAATCGTTTCAATCAACTTTCAATTCATTGCAAAAGAGTTCTTTTTAATTCTATTCGAAACACCATGCTTCGTTGCTTTCAAACAAAATCTTTCTGGATGTTGAAAATATTGGTGTTGGCCACAATCATCTTGGGCGATGTGTTTAAACTTAGATTAACTAGAAGTTCTTATGTTTATGAAACGATTCAGTCATTTTGAGTTTCATTATCATCATTGCAGTTCAATTCCGACAGAATAAACTACAATGTTTCATCCTGCAATGATAAATAATCTCTACGATTTTCATCTGGATTTCTCTTCTCATTTCAAATGTGAAAAGTCAATTTAACGATCTTCTTTCTTTTCAATGACTTTGCATTTTCTTTAGTAGTTCATGAGGAAGAAATGCAAAAGCGACTATTTTCATTGCACCTGACTATTACTGATCACTATGTTCGAGAGAAAACTTATTGACCGAACAATGATCGAGTAAAATATTACTGTTACTCAAATAGATGACATTGATATTAATAAAGCAATCAAATCTTCGATGATTTCTCACACTTCATAATGGTGAATAAACCACTGTGATTGACAGATTCCCTAGAACGAACGATCGATACGAAGTATTTAGTTATCTTTCAATACTGTTCGTCAATTTTGACATGAGTCATTTTCTTAATCTTGATCAATTTGTGTTCAGATGTCGGATAAAAAAAAAATAAAGACAAGTGATTGACAATCGAAGGAAACAAATCGTTCGCCGAGCCATAATGCGATAGACACTAGATTTGACGATAAAGTAGTTTTCTCACTTTCTTGAAGTATATTCGATGCAATATTTTTAGATCATCGTCTTTCATATTCACAATAATAATCGCCAACATATCATCTTTTTCGTCAATGATTTTATTACTTTGACGCGATGCATTTTATTGTTTTCAAATGACACAAAGTAAGAAAACATTTGAATTATTTGACAATATCCAAATTATTGCATAATGCATAACGAGAAGCTCAACTGTTCGATAAATCGAAACTCAAATCATCTTTAATATTTGCCTATTTCACAAAAGAATTTCGAAAATAATGGATTGGATAATGATGAAATCAATATTTTTGGACTTGGTCAAGTTGCACAGATTAGACATGCTACTTAACCTCCTGAAAATTATAACAAGTCGGTTAGAAGACCGCACAGCTTATATATGCTTCGGTAAAAATAAATCGGATACCTTCAATGTTCAAGTCAGTCTTCCCCAAGGTAGCAGCTTGAGCTCCTATATCTTCATAGTTTATCATAGCGATTTGGTAACCTGTTTAGGAGCCCACTCTGCTCATCTCTTCGCAGACGACTTGATTGTTCTTCTTCGAGCTCCTATTCAAAAATCTTCCTCTTCCTTAATTAAGTATCTTGAAGTCGAAGAAAGTAAAGTATGTGACAGAATTACAAACTATTCTCGACTGTGGAAACAACCAATCAACGTAGGTAAGATTGTAGCACAGATCTTCTATTCCCAAATTACAATACCAACAGTTGATATATACATGTTAGGCCAGAAGATAAAGATAGTTAATACGTTTAAATATTTAGGGTTTACCTGGACTAGCAAACCATCACTGAAACTCACCGTAAATAGATGCCTGGAGAACATTTATAAATCCCTACGTAAGTTGGAATGGCTTCAAACGGGCAGAACACTGCCCACAGACATATTAAGAAAATGCTTTTTCGCTTATTCCTTTCCACACTTTGCATGAATCTTTCCCTTTTTTCCATTTCTCCCTCAAACTCAGAAAGATGTACTGAAAAGTAAATTTAGAGCTGCCATACGTCTTGTTCACTGTGCTCCATTCGTTAGTGCCGCGAATCTGTTTTCATTCACTCACGAACAACCCCTTGTAAGTTATGTCAAACGATATATTTCAAAGAGATTAAAAAAATATCTACTCAACCGTTTTAAGTACCTCGTTATTTGTAGAAGACATTTTATTCTGGTATAATTTTCATAAGCTGCCCAAGGACAGAGTAGGACATTTCTTTACGCTCAAACGAGTTAAGAGACTAAAAATTAAACACTATTCACTACTCCTAACATGGCTAGAGTTTGCCAATCAATAGATCAAGCCCCTCACACTCCCATATAAAGTCTCTTTCCTACATAAAGTCGAAATTTTAAAAATTAGCTAAGTCGTAGCATAGGTACGAATCCTAAGCATCAACTCTCCTTCTCTCCATCCCCACCAATTCATTCTCCTCTTCAATACTCTAGTCTTCCTTGCTTTCTTTCCTTCCTTCTTTTTAACTTGTTTATCCGCACCTCCTTTATTATTCATTCTCTGATACATTGTTGTTACTCTATCTATTTTTTGTGTTCTTCTTCCATATTGTTAACCTTCATCTTTAAATTGTTCTCCTCTTTTCCCCTATTCACCTTCGTGTATTCCATTCCTATAAGCACTTACGAGTGTTACAATAAAACAGAGCTCAAACCAAAAAAATATTTTTGGACTTAGTGCCAAACTGGAGCATTTCGATAATGTCAGAGCATCCAAAATAATAATCTCTGATAGAAACTGACGGAAAATTACATTATTTTGTTTGATTCATGATGATCTCCCACTTGATATAAGATAATCCTATTCGAAATGACTTTATTGTTCGATCACTTACTCAAGACTATGATGATAACGTTAAATCAATGTCAATTTTCTGAAATCATCAACTTCGATCAAGATTGAACTTTTGTACTCGATGGTTTTCATAATCGGCTACGTAGAGATTGCCCTCTCGATCAAAAGACAATCCTCTTTGGCAATTGAGTTGATTCGATTGACTTCCTTGACCATTTTCACCAACGATTAGACTTCCTTGCATGGCTCCTTGAGACCAACGCATTATTCGACTATTCTCACTATCAGCTACATAGACAGTACCTGACTGATCCACGATTATTCCATAAGGATTTGATAATTGTGTAGGACTATTTCCTCGACCTTGACCACCAGCCACAACAATACCTTGTTTCGCACCTTTCATCCATTTCATCACACGATGATTTTCCATGTCCGATATGTACACTGAATGATCTTGATCAACGAATACGTATGACGGATAATGCAGCTGATCGAGACGTTTTCCTGGTCCATTTCCGCCTGCAACCACTATTCCTTGACTTTCTCCGATTCGATAACGTCGAACCTCATGTTTATTTTCATCAACAATGTAAAGGAATCCATCATGGTTCATTGTCAGTCCCCAACATCCAACATTTGAGATGATCGTTTCTCCTCTTGTACCATTTTGACGAGGCCATCGAACTACTCTTTTATTACCATAATCACAAATGATGAGACTATCTTTTTCTTTATCAATAATCACATCTGTCGGCCAGCGCAACTGATCAGAACGATTTACTTTTCCATTTCCACCGGCTACAACTCGACCAGTCGTCGCACCATGTTTCTGTTCAATAATGCGATGATTCCCGCAATCAGCAATGTAGATAGTTTGATCATTATCAACGCATAAACCATTTGGATGATAGAGTTCATTCATTCTACTACCTTTTCTATTTTCTCCAGCAACAGTGACACCATTCTGTATCCATTTTGAATTTACATTCAGATTTACACTGCACTGCAATAGTGCTGAAATCAAATACAATTTCCTTCATTGACATTTGATTAATGTACGTCGATGAAAAACGGTACTCGAAGTAAAGAAGTTTGATCAAGAAAGAAAGAGCAAAAGCAGTTTTACTCCATTTTTATATTGCACAATGCCTCAATGTTAATATCGTTCTTTTGATATCTTGAATGGAGAAAAGACAAGAGCTTCTATCACCATTGTCGAGATACCTTTTTTCTTGTGCAAAAGCTTTAATGACAAAATGTTATAATTAATCATCAGGATCAATGAAGAAAATTTGACTGTACTTTTTTTTCGAATAAATAATTGTTCAAAATAGCTATGAATGATAGAAATGACTTCTAACTTTTGATCCAAATCGACCTTTCATTGTAGATAATTTCTATGTGAATGCTCTTATAAAACTAATTCAATCGGACTTTTTCTTTCAATTATCAAATTGAAGTTACGAATTATTGATATGATGTCACTGATGATATGAGAAATGATTTTACAAGAAAAAACGACGAGCAATAATTTAAGGAACAATAGATAAAGTTTTATCCAGTTCGATTTTCATAAAAACCAATCAGATGAACATTTGCAATATGAGAAGATAGTTAACAAAGATGTTGTTAACTTTCTCTGATTATTCTCATTTTCACAAATGACACAAAAGTTATGAAATATTTGACAAGATTATCTACTTTCAAAAAATCCAAAATGAATGACGGACTGGAACAAAGAACAGTGCACGTGAAAGTTTTGACTTAGTTTACTTCTATTTTTCAATGAGTATCATCGTGCAAGAAATGAATCGAATTGCTGTTTTCTTACAATGATAGTTCCAAGAAAGTTTCCTATTATTTTCTTCAACTTATTAGAACTTTTTGAAAGAAAGAAAACATGGCATTTTTTATTCGATTATTGAATTTCTAGAGTTCACAATACTTGAAAAATATAAATCATTTCGTCGTTCAAAATCAAAATTTATGTCACTGTTTAGATTGAATTAAAATCACTTGAAAATCTCAATTGACCTTATAGTCTTCATCGTGTCTTCTCTATTGGACGCGAAAGTACTATAAGTCATTAAAACTGAAAGGAATTTTTTCTCGATCGGATCTTAATGCGTATCTAAACAATAATTAAACAATTTTGATTTCTGTTTCAATTAAAAATTCAAAAGAGCCGTTCGAATGTTTGAAAAGGCTCTTAAAATTTGACTCTTTGTCACTTGTAATTCAGTTGAAATATTCATTGTCTAAAGACGTACTCATCAACTGTTGAGTAAAACGGCTGACTTTTTGGAATGAAAATAAAAAATAGCTAGACGAAACACAAAAAAGAACTTCTCTATGATTCACTATTTTGAATAGGGACCAATAAATACAGCTAGTTATCAGATAGAGAAAGATCAAACAGTTCAACAAGTTCTGATGTCTATTAAACGAGAATAAGTAGAATAAAGTAGTGATCTGTCGGAAGAGGTGTTCAGTTGTCTAAAATCTTTTTGACTCAGGATATTGAACTTGTTCCTTACAGAAAAACACTCATAAACGGTATTGATTATCGAAAGAATTGGTCTTACAGATATTGTTTGATTCTATATTAGAAAAATATAAATGAATGAATCCTTATGATTCTTTGAATATTCTCATTTTTTTTCTTGTCATTCACTTTTGGAAAACAAATCTAGCGTATTATTCTGGAACCTCATTTAAGACCTTATCTGGATATCATCTCGCAAAGTTCATGATGTGAATATGCTAAATGAAGAAAATCTTATTATGATCAAATTGGATTACAGTAAATAACGAAGGATGTTCAAAAGCGTATCTTAGAGTTTTCGCGATTCTTTCAGTGGTCTTAATGCATTGCATCACAAAAGAGGGCCAATTTTTGAAAGCTTTTTCTTTTTCGCTTCCAACTCGTTAGAAATTGGTAATTGTGAGATTTTATTCTTTTACAAGTTTTCAAGAGAAAGTCGAACATTATTAAATTGATTTTTATTCCTTGATGCAGACGAACAAGGTTTCTCAATATTTGTCATTATCTCTCAAACTGAAAACGCTTGTTTTAGTTCATATTCGAATCGAGCTAAAAGATCAAAGGGATTTGCAGGACATTGTGTTCATTGATATTTAGTTTAAAACCAAGTTATCTCGTATTGGGCACATCAATCATATATCGTTTCAATATTACGATATGTAAAATACTCATCGAATATCTCATTGTCGTATATCGATATTCTTCTGTTCCAAAAAAAGATGAAAAAATCATAGTTTATGAGTTGAGAATAGAAGATTCAATAAAAGAGAACCACTATGTATAGATAATAAATTTTGTTTCAATATTTCGTATTAGTTCTCTCTTATCAATGCAGGCTTTAGAAGAAAAGCTTTGACACTAGCAATATTTCATCTTACGAGGCAAGGTCACCAGGTATGAATCTCAATTTTGACTAGGATATATACCAATTTTTAGAGCTCAACGAGCTGATACTTATGGGATATTACGTTTTTCCCTAGAGAACTTCAAATGAGAGAAACTGATCAATTTTACTAGTGAACTTCTTCACTTTGAATATGTTTCGAGACAGCTATTAGAATGGATATTTAAAGTTTAAATGATCATGTTAAAACATAGACAATATAACATGTGATAATCTGTTATTGCATTATTTTAAGCACAAGTTAAGCGGCGAATTTTGAATTCATAACAAAGTTTTCTCTCAGGATCGGTAAAGTACCCTGAAGTGTAATAATTCTGCACTTAATGTTCATAGGGATGATGGAATTGAGTTTTACAAAGAAATACTGTTCTTTTAAAATAATAGACTATTACATGCAGCATTGTCTATATTTCAACATGGCCATTTAAACTTTACTTAAGGCGTACCAAAAGTTCGTGTCCCGTCATTTAAAGGACCTTGTCGGATGGGGTGAACTAGTTTAGAAATAAGAAACAAATATATCATGTTGTAGAGTTTTTCGAGCCGCATCGAATGGTATATAGTAAATTCTGTTTTCTTAGAACTTTGAACGACCTAGAGTCAATTTATTGATGGACGACTACACATTCACACCCATTCATACTCATGTCCGCATTCACAAGATGATCGGAGATAGTACGTATATGAAGTTGTAGCCCATCAAAAACTCTACAAAGTAGCATGCGAGAAACAATATTTTACATATGCTTTCAATTAATATCAAGAACCATAATAAACATTAACTTATGGTCCTCAGGTA